CATCATCATCAATCCTCACCATCACCACCACCCTCACCACCAATACCATCACGACCACCATCACCATCATCAACATATCATCACTAAGATCATCATCATCGTGACCTTTATGGCTAAGTTACCATCATCTCTTATCTGGATCACTGCAACAGCCACCTAACATCTCCCCACAACCATTCTTGCCTTCTTCCAATCTATTTTCCACTATGTAACTCAAGTGATCTTTTAAAAATGCAATCTCATGTCACTCATATGTTTAAACTATGTCACTGGCTTCCCACAAAAGATGGATGAAACTAAAAATTTTTAGCATAGTTTAAATAACCAAACTTGGGCATCTCTTAGCCTCAAACCTGCCATGTACCTTCTCATTCCAGGACCTTCGAGGTCCTGTCTACCTGAACCAGGGTTGCCATTCTTGACAACTCCCTCTTCCTCATTCTTTCATCTGCTGTCTTCTGCCTATATATCTTATGCTGGAAATATGCTGCTAACACTGTTCCTCTTGCCTTCTCTTCTTTCCTTCCCTTTATGATCAAAACCTCTCTGAAATGTTGGTTATACGCACTGTCTCCACTCTCCAACCAAATTTACAATGGCTTCTGCCCCCCATCTTTCCACTGAACGTGCCCAGCAAAAGATCATGGCACCTGTTACTGAAGCCAATGAACCTATTTTTTAGCCTTATCTCACTTGACCTTTCTGAGCGTCTGACACCGTTAACCACTCTTCCCGCAAAATTTCCTCTGCCTTTGTGTCCGTTGCCTGTTCTCTTGGTTCTTTTCATCTTTCCCTGGATAATTCTTCTTTTTCCCTCATCTGCCCCCTTTTCTCTATCAGCCTCCTAGAAGTTGCTTTCCCAGGGTTTCCAAATTGCAACTCTTTTTCACTTACTCTACTTACCCTTCTGTGGGTGATCCCATCCATTCACATGGTATCCATTGCATAATGACTCCCAAATCCTTCTCACTGGGTCCTTCCTCCCTCCTGAGCTCCAGGCCCGTGTGCCTCCATGGGGGTGTTTCACAAACACTTCAAACACAACACATGTAAAGCTGAAATCTCAGAACGCCCTTCCTGTCTCTGTTGGTATCTCAATGAGTGGCCCTAACACCCAGTCAGTTACCCAACCAAAAGCTTGAGTCATTCTTTTCTCCTTCCTTTCTCTCCCTCCCTACCACCATTTAATCATCAAATTCTCTTAACTCTGCCTCCTTAGATGCACTCAGATGTGTTGCTTGTCTTTGTTCCAATGCCACTCCCTTAGTTCAGGCCCTCATCATTTCCCGCCTGCACTATGGCCACAGCTCCCTAATCCATCTCCTGTCTCCAGCTTTTCCTTTCTCTTGCCCTTTCTGTACTGCTGTCAAAGTTTAGGGAAAACAGATTCTTAAATGATTTTCCAGAGAACTAGTGGTCCACCTTTCAAAAAGAAGGGTTTCTTAGGCAAATAAAAAATGGCTTAGTTCAGAAAACATCCCCTCTGTGGCCCTTTCTTAGTGATCCACCATGCATATCAGCATATTTAAAGTTCTGAGAAGTCCTGTCACAAAGGGTCTGTTTGGAATTGTTTAATCAAGCATTTCCCAAACTTCCTTGACCCTAAAACCCATTCTCCTGGACATACTTCTTAACATCTTGCAGAACATTATATTTTTTGAAAACACCAATCTGATCATCTTACTTTTCTATTTGAAAATAGGACAGATATGTGGATATACACTAACAGAAGACAATTTGAACTTTATTCTATGAGCAATGAAAAGTCCTTGGAGATTCCTGAGTGGGGAAATGACCCAGCACTCAGGCAATCAATAGCTTTCAACGATCGAGCTCCTACGATAAGCTAGGTGCTTCTCATCTACCACCTCTAACCCTTACAACATAGCCACAGGTGGGCATAATGCCCAAGTGAGGAGACTGAAGCCAGGGTGGTCAAGTATTGGTCCTACGGTCATATAACCAATAAGGGTGGAGCAGTATCTGGCTCAGGGTCTAGGTGGCTTTACAGCCATGGCTGTTTGCCTGAAGGACAGATTGGAAATAGGAAAATCTAAGGCTTGGACATAACTTCTTAGAAGGCTATCATTTCTTTCTTTGTTCTTTTCACCTTTGTTCTCACACCCAGATAATGCCTTGAGTACTAGCCGCTCTTCTTAAGCTTGGGTCTCATTGCCTTTTCTGTAGGACCACTGTATTTTTTTTCCTCTTATGCACTCAGCAAGTCATCAGCTCCAGAAAAGCCTATCTCCTGCTTAAAAACTGTGTCTCTCCTGAGTGTCTGTTCATGTCCAAATTTCTCAACTTAACATTCTAGGTCTTCTCTTATCTGCCATCAACTTTCCTTTCTGATCTTGACTTTGACACTTTTCTAAATATTACTCATATTATCCCAACCGAACTACTCACTGTTTAGCAGCCTCCCTGCTTTTGTTCTTGCTGTTCCCTCCTCTTGGAAAGTACCTATTCTTTTGGGTCCTTTTTCGCTGTAATTCCGTAGAACAAGTCCTAATCTGGGCCAACTAGATGCTCGCAGGTTTTTAGCATAAAAGGTCAGGGAGGTGCCTCCAAACTTGGAAAGCAGGTTAACTTCTGAAAATTAAACTAGTAAAACCCACAGTGGATGTCATCAGCTATCTGTGAAGATGATATAGCCAAAGGAAGTCTCAAAAAGTAGACAGCTAAGAAGATATGAAAACACGTCCCTGGAAGGGAGGAAGAAGGTGCCCAGAGCTTACCCTCAGGGCACAACTCTATCTACGTGTCTGAAACCATAAGATGCACAAACGAGACCCTTATCAAATCAATGACAGGAAACGGAGTAACCGAACCATGATCTATTATGATAATTGGCCAAGGCGGTGGCCAAATCAATTACATTCTGCTCTGGTGTATTGAAGCACGGCATGCACTGTAATAGATGGAAGACGGCTAAGGAGACAGATGAACAGGTGGAGAGACTGCCGACTAAAAGAGACATTCCCTGAGTTTGAGGGATACTGACCTTTGGGACAGGGGAAGGATTGGTGATGAAGGGATTTGAAATAGTTCATCCAGCTTTCTCAAATGTGGTTAGTTTTCCTGAAAGTCCTCTGCTTCTTTTGCTCAAATGATAAATCCATCAAGCCACCTTTTGAAAACCTGTTTGGTTTCCTTGGACATCAGAAAGGGATACTCTGGGCAGTGGGAAAGGATATCCTCGTTGTATCTGTCTCATGGGGCTGTTGGGAGGATCCAAGGAGGTAATGCATGCTGAGGGATGGATCTAGGCTGTACATAGTAATTGTTCAATAAATACAAGTGTTTAAAATCAATCAGTGTAGGGGCACCTGAGTGGCTCAGTCGGTTAAGCGTCTGCCTTTGGCTCAGGTCATGATCTCAGGGTCCTGGGATTGAGCCCCATGTCAGGCTCCCTGCTCAGCGGGGAGTCTGCTTCTCCCTCTGCCTCTGCCCCTCCCACTCCCACTCGTGCACTCTCTCTCTCAAATAAATAATAATAAAAAAACAATCAGTGTATTGTAACTCTGCTTTTAATGACAAATTCTTATAGATTTGCTTAAGGTGAACTGGCTTCCTGGTATCTAGGTGCTGTGATGACGTTGGGCACCCAAACCCACAAAACAGTTTCCATGGCCCTGGATGAGAATAAGCCAATGGAAGTCTTGCCTCATAAAGGACCTGGCAACCATCCACCTGGTCTAGGGCATCTCTAGTTCATTATCATCCTCCCACTTCCTTTCTCTAAGTGCCAAGCACATGTCTTAAGACATTTTTGCTCTATTTTCAATGCAATCACTTGTGTATATCTCGAATCCCCATTCTATCAGAGCATATACTCCTTGAGGGTGAAGGCTCTTACATCCCTCGCAGAGCTCCAAATGTCATAAATCTTTAATGAGTTGAAATGAGTTGAATCAAAGACAAGGCAAATGATCTGGGGCTCACATGAAGCCTCTAAAATCTGCCTCCCCCCCTACCCCCATGAGGTTGGTTGCAGAGTCCTGGAGAGGAGACCTGGACTTGCAGGCTAAGAACGTCTCTTCAGGTGTCCCCAGCCCAGGGAGCGGATGCAGGAGAGCCTGCAAGGCTGAAGGAGGGCTGCCCAGCTGCCCAGGAAGGAGAGGGAGAGACAGACAAATGAAGAGAGCAGGTCCTGCCTGCCACACTTACCTGGATCTCGGTCTGCACAGTGCATTTAACCAGTTTAAAGTTCTTCCCAGGGTTGAAACTGTTGCTATAGAAGCAGACCTTGAGGATCCGCACGTCTTCCTTTTCCACATCGACTGGCACCACCACCATGGGCTCTGGAGGGCCTTCAGAAGGCCGACGTAACGTGCCCACCTTCACTCGGCTCAGGGGCTCGGACACCCCAGACATCCTCTCGGGCGGCAGCTAGCACCCGCACATTGCAGTCCTGTGGAGACAGCAGAGGGACAGCCCTGAAATGAGTCCGAGGAGGCCCACGTGCCTTATGCCCCAGGGACGGCACCCACTGATCTCCAGGACCTAGCAAACCACACATTCCCCCATTCTCAAAAACTCCCCTTCAAGGCATACAGCTTTATGGACCGGGGGAAGCTGAAGCACAAAGGAGCAGTTTGGATAAACATCCGGGTCTGAAACCCGGCCCTCGAGCTCCCAGGCTGTGCGCTTTCTCTTCTAGAAGCCCCCTCTCTCCATCACATTTCTCCTCCCACACTGGGCTCCAAGGCAAGAGGCCCACACTTTGCAAAGGCAGCTGTGAGAGGGGGCGGCCGCAGCATGGTTCCAAGGCACAGCTGAGCAGAAAAAGCAAAGAGTTAGACACTAGAAAATAGCAGGAGAGAAACAGGGACAAGAGAAGAAGCAGAAGGGGAGAATGGGTGGCCTGGAGGGAGCTGGAATGGACAAGGCAGGAAATGGCCCAGGTGGGGGGCCAGTCCATCAGCTGATGGCTTTGTCTGCCCCCACCCGCGGCTGCCAGCCCGAACTTTTGAGGCAGGAGGCCTCGGTCCCACAGGAACTCATCCTATAGCACATCGTTCATGGCACACAGGAGGATTCAAGGGGGACAGCACTCCTGCAGCCCAATTTGGGAGGTCTTTCTGTCAGGTGGGAGAGGGTTGGGCTGGGCCCCCTAGAACACCCAGCCCAGTTTGGATGACAGTTTGGTTGACACTTATATCGACGATAAGAATTCCAGGAATCTTCAGTTCTCCCTGAGTCCCCACAAAATGGGTCCTGTCCTCTTGATCCAACTCAATCCTGTGGGGTTTACTCCCCACTGGTCTAAAGCAGGAGCGCCCCCAGGGAAACAGTAGGAAGTTTTATCTGATGATTCGTGGTGTCAAGCTTGGCTCCACATTAGGACCCCCCGCCCCGGGAAGCTTTTAAGAAAGCCTAAATCCAGGCCCTGTGACCAGAGATGGCCTCGGAGTTGGCGTGTGGGGAGGCCTGGCATTGGTATTTTTATGTTTCCAAGGATTTTTCTAACATTTAGCCTGGGCCTGGGGGCCACCTTTCTAGACTAACCTTAGCTCTCATTCTGAATCCATTCTTACAGAAAAATGATCTCCTTTCTAACAAGAGACTGAGGTTCTAGGGGGACCGTGTTAGACCAGGAGCTGGGGGCCAAAGGATGGAGCTGGAATGTGAACACACAGATGTAGAGGCAAATATTTTAGAAGTGGAACCAGTTATGTTCACCCATTCACACTGTGCTGGACACCAGAAGGGAAGATGGAGACAGTCATTGGCTACAAGGAGCTGTTCCTTTTTAACAGGCGGTGTGTATTATGAGGGCATGAAGGAGATGCTGTGAGGGCCCGGGAAGGAGCAGGGCATGCCCCTTCCATCAGGGGCAGGCAGACAATGGGCACAGCACCAGTCTGAGTCCAGAATTTGGGACAAGACAGATGGAGAAAAGAATATCCAGTTGGCCTTATTTTAGAGGTTAATATGTATATTCTAGAAGTATCCATGCCATTTTTCAATAAATATCGACTGAACATGTCCTGTGTGCCAATACTCTGCTAGGTGCTGAGCGTGTATCTCAGTTTCCCCACACCCTGAAGAAGGAGTCCAGAGGAAATAGCTTGAGAAGCAACCCCAGGAAGCCCACTGAGGAGGGGGGAAATGCGTGACGGGGAAGGGAAGACAGCCAAAGGAGGGTTATCAATAGAGTTACCACTTGGCAGCTGCAGGGCAGTCCTGCTGGGAACTCTGGGAGCCAGGACGTGCTGCGGAGCTACTCCACCCAGGGAGGGAAGGGGAGGGGGTTTCTGGGGTATTTATACACCCCTCTTACAGCCGTCATTCCCAGCATTTCCAGCCAGTTCTGCACAAGGGCAGATTGGACTCAGGAGCCAGAGAAAGTCCTCAGGCACAAAGATGCAGATGCTGGTAGGCAGAAGTAAGCAGGAGAATACTGGAATGTCAAGGCCCAAGGGGTATTAGATGGGATGATGACAGATCTGCTATAGGATGTAAAGATGAGGGTAGGGTGTCCCGCCCCTAAAGAGTATACACTCTGGTCGTAGAGATAGGCACGTGCACACACACACTCGTGCGCATGGGCACGCTCAGCACCAGACATATACGTAATTGGTCCCAGACTCAGGAACTGCTGTGTCTGTCTATTGAGCCAGGGGCCTGTGACCCCTGGGGATCTGTTTGTATGAACTAGTTTTCAGGCAGGGGCTTCATGACACAGTTTTGTAAAACAGGTGTTGGGATAGGAAGGAAATGGAGTGGCACATGGCATCCATCCCCATATACCAGATGGAAGTCACAGGGCCTATGTTCCAAAGGCATTTAGAAACCAGGGGCACAATCAGTGCTGTCATGCTGACCAGTGGGGACGTGGACTCAGAGCTGGGGAGCAGGGCTATGCCCACATCTGCAGGTTACACCACATGGCTTCTGGGCATCCACAATGAAGGGGATGGGGTGCCATTCAGGAGGTGCCCCCGGCCCAGACAGCATTCTCATCCAAAGAGTGCTGATGCTAGTGAGCACACAGGGGACACCCCAGGGACTCCCTGAAACACTGGGGAAAAGTTTGAGAGAGGAGTGTTAAGTAGAAATAACATGTCAGTAAAAGTCAAAAGATCTGGTGCAACTTGGGAGCCCCCATTTTCACATATTATGTGTGCCATTGGCTGAAGTTAAGAGCGAAGCAGGTAAGCCCTCTCTGGCAGGCAGAACGAGGGGCAGAGATAGAGCAGGTGACTTAGAAATCTTTGCTGGGGACAGAGCCAGAGCAATGTCTGGCAGGGGGAAAGGGGTTGGACCCCCATGGAGCTTTTAGGGGCTTCAGCCAGTGGCACCATGAAATGTGGCGCTTTCAAATTCGAGCAGACAAGAGGATGTAAGCACGTGATGAGGACATGGAGCAAGAGGAACTCTCGTTCAATTGGTGCAAACTTTGGAAGACAGTTGGATGGTTACTTACAAAACGAAACATATTCTTACCATACGATCCAGCAATAGTGCTCCTTCGTATTTACCCAAAGGAGTTGAAAACTTATGTCCACACAAAAACCTACACATGGATGTTTATAGCAGCTTTATTCATAACACCAAAACTTAGAAGCAACCAAGATGTCCTTCAGTAGGTGAATGGGTAAATAATCTGTGGTACATCCAGACGATGGAATATTATTCAGTGCTAAAAAGATATGTTCTATCAAGCCATGAAAAGAAGGGGAGGAAACTTAACCATCTGAGCCACCCAGGCGCCCCAAGAAGGGGAGGAAACTTAAATGCATCTAACGAAAGAAGCCAATCTGAAAAGGCTGCATACTGTATGGTTCCAACTACATGACATTCTGGAAAAACTACAGAGACAGTAGAAAGATCAGTGATTTCCAGGGGCTGGGAGGAAAGAAGCGATGAATAGGTAGAGCACAGAGGATTTTTAGGGCACTGCAAATCTGCCCTGTGTGATATTATCCTAATGGATACCTGTCATTATACATTTGTCCAAACTCGTGGAGTGTAAGCATCAAGAGTGAACATTAACGTAAACTATGGATTCTGGGTGATAGCGATGTGAAATGTAGGTTCATCTATCATAGTAAATGTCCCACTCTGGTGGGGGGTGTCCACAGTGGGGGAGGCCGTGCATGTGTGTGGGTGGGGGTATATGGGAAATCTCCGGACCTTCCTCTCACTTTTGCTGTGAACATAATACTGGGCCAAAAAATAAAGTCTATTAAGAAAAAAATGTAATGATGAGAAACCATAGTGGGATCGTTGACCCCCCTCTCCAGCCCACTCAGGAACTCGGGAGCTAGCCCCCACCTCTACCCTGAGCAAAGAGAAACATTCATAGTCTACATTGGACTGACACAGCCCACCCAGACTAATGCATTGACCATCGCCAATATGCCTGGAGGACCCTGGTTTCTTATCTTCATCAGTTTTTCCAGGCCCTTGGTTCAGGGGCCATCATTCCTAGTGGTCAACATGACTCCAGTTGAAATATTTTTGCAAAATCATTTTGGTCACTCAGGAGCTACTTTTTTTTTTTTTTTTAAGATTTATTTATTTACTTTAGAGAGAGAGAGAGAAAGAGT